ATTGAATTTGGTAAAATCAATGTTGGACATAAATACATCTTAGTGGTTATCGATTGTTTTTCAAAGTATCTCTGGATGCGTCCGTTAAAAAATAAGTCTTCAACGGATGTAATACAGCGTTACGTTCAATTCTCTCTGAAGGTCGTGTACCTAAAAATTTACAAACAGATCAGGGAAAGGAATTTTACAATACACACTTCAAAAAGTTGATGATGGAATTTAAAATTAATCATTATTCAACGTATAGCGTAATGAAGGCTGCAATAGCTGAACGCGTAATTAGAACCATAAAACAAAAGTTGTATAAAATGTTTAGTCTTTACGGAAATCATAAATGGTTACACTTATTGGATGCTATTACAACTCAATATAACAATTCAAAGCATTCAACCACGAAAATGAAACCATCTCAAATAAATTCGAAATCTGTAGAAAATAAACTTCTCAATACGGTGTACAATCATATTAAAATTGCCGGTAAGGGAAACTTTAATGTTGGAGATGTAGTTCGCATTAGCAAGCATAAGCATGTCTTCGATAAGGGATATTTACCCAACTGGACCACTGAGTTATTTAAAATAGTTAAAACACAAATTACGAATCCAATTTCTTATTTATTAGAAGATATAAATGGACAAACTATTAAAGGAGCTTTTTATGAATTCGAACTTCAAAGATCCAAACAACCTGATGTGTATCTTGTTGAAAAAGTGTTAAAGAGAAGAAAGAGTCAAGTGTTCGTTAAGTGGTTAGGATTCGATTCATCCCATAACAGTTGGATACCGAAAGACAATATCGTTTAGGTTTAAGGGGAGGTTCCCGTCCAAATCGAAGAAAAAATCGAAAATTTTTTTTTGCTTAGTTGTCATCTTTATGTTGTTGAGAATACGTGGGAGTAAGGATATTTTGACATATGATGTAGTTCTCGAGATAGACGGGGTCTCATTTTGCTAGTGCGAAATAAATTCGCTGCTTGCGTTCGGTACAAAGTGTCAATCTAAGTAGTGCGTATTTTTTGAATAACAAAAGTTCAAACGTCAATGTGACACAAGTTGATTTCATAACAACATTCCTGATAGGCGAGTTTACTAGTTGTGTGCAACCGTTTCTTTTAAAACGTAGTATTACTCGTGCGACGACGTGCCGGAAAATGCCGAACACGCGAAAATGTTTACCGGGAAGAGCGCATCCTGCTCGGCCGCGGAAAAAGAAAGTCAGTTATGATCCAGAGGAAATGGAAAATGACAAAGAATTTGTCAGCACATCCGCTAAGAAATTGAAGAACGCGAGTTACGATGATATCGAAATCGATGTTGGCCATACTAACGTTATTATCGACTTTTTAACAGTGTTTAACTTTTTATCGCAATGCTTAAAATGTAAAGAATGTGACGGGGATGTAATATTTACCCAAACGTGCAAACGTGGACTCGGCTTCAATTTACTTTTGACGTGCTCATGCAAAAATAAACGCCGCGTTCCCTCGAGTCCGTCAGTGAATACTTCGTACGAAATAAATCGCCGACTGATGTTTGTTATGCGCCTTTTGGGACTTGGGATGCATTCGATAAACACGTTTTGTTCGCTTATGGAATTATCTACCGGTTTTGGCAAAAGTGCATATTACACTTTCATAGAGAATCTACTGGGGGCATCAAAGAGCACGTTTGAAATGGTTCAACGAAAAGCAGTTGATGAAGAAAAGGAGTTGAACGTCAAGGCACGAAATGTAAAAACACATCTGAGTGTTTCTGGAGACGGTTCATGGAAGAAACGTGGGTTTTCTTCACTATTCGGGGTTACAACTTTGATCGGCAAATACACTCATAAAATTATAGATTTTGTGGTAAAATCTTCATTTTGCCAAAGTTGCAGCAACTGGGCCTCAAAAAAAGGAACTGTGGAGTACGATACGTGGCTCGAAAGTCATGAAGAAAATTGCTGCATAAATCACACTGGAAGTGCTGGCAAGATGGAGGTAGATTCGATGAAAGAAATGTTTTGTCGTTCAAATGAACTCGGCGTGAAATACGAGACATACATTGGTGATGGAGACACCAAAACATTCAAAGCTCTCCTACAATGCGATCCGTACGATGACCTTACAGTGAAAAAAAAAGAGTGTATAGGGCATGTTCAAAAGCGCATGGGTTCTCGGCTGCGCGAAGTTAAAAAAAGAAGTAAAGGAATCGGAGGCAAAGGTTCTGGGAAGTTAACAGATAAACTAATCAAAAATTTAACTTTGTATTACGGTCTTGCCATCCGAAGACACCCCGATTCAGCCGAGGAAATGAAAAAGGCTGTATGGGCAACTTTCCATCATAAATGCTCCACAGACGACGAACCGAAGCACGAGAACTGCCCGCGAGGAGGAAACAGCTGGTGTAAGTGGCGTGTCGCCGAAGCTACGGGACTCAACGATTTCCACCATGAACCTGCCCTTCAAGAATCTGTCCAAAAAGCCATTCGACCGGTGTATGAGGCTCTTTCGAGTGACGACTTATTACAAAGGTGCACCGGCGGAAACACACAAAATGATAATGAAAGTTTTAACGCCATCATTTGGAAACTTTCTCCTAAACACACTCATTGCGGTGTACAAACGATTCAAATATCAGCATATATAGCTGCTGGTATCTTCAATGAAGGCTGCTCATCAATTTTGAGAACGATGAATACACTGGGAATCGTTATTGGTAACTACAGCAGGAGCTTCGCCGAGAAAACGGACGACAAACGCATCACGGCAGGGGAGCAAAAATTGTCGGAACACGCAAAACGAGCAAGAACTGAAAAAATGACCTTGGAGATTGAAAGTAACGCGCTCTTCGAAGAAGAAGAAGGAATTCTGTATGGTGCTGGAATAGCTGATTAGAGTAAGTTGTCAAAAACTAACTTTTTACTACATTTTTACAATTTTTTACTATATAAAACTTTAAATGCGTTTTTCTCGAAACAATGTTTTTCGACGCGCGGTACGCTCTAGAGCTTCGAGGAATGCACCGATTGCAAAGTTTCACCTCTCAAATTAAAGCTAATTAAATTTGGGGGGCCCTGACTGAGCGTTTTTTTCAAAAAAATTATTGTAAATATATTTTTATTTAAGTTGAAGCCCAAAAAAAGCATGAGAAAATGAGTTTTTTTGCAAACGGCCGCCATTTTGATTGAAAGGGCTTTTTTAAAAATCGGAAACCGATAGGGCCCCATTAATACCTATTATTTCTAGAAACTTTTTACTTCACAGTCATCTGTGGTACTCGCAACATCAACAGTTTTAATAAGCGGTTGCTCTCGTTAAAGTTTATATTTGACACTCTCAATTTCAAATCTCTTTAAAGATGTTCGCGTGCGATAAGTGTCAAAAGTCGTTCACTGCCAAAAGGAACCTCGATCGGCACACGCGACTTTCGCATACTAATAACGTTAAGAACGAGTGTTCTTTATGCGATAAATCTTTTTCGAGATTCGATAGTTTTCAAAGACATAAAAGATTAGTGCATGGTTTAGAAGTTGGTCCTCAGCGTCAAGCGCCACCTCCAGCAATGGCAAATTATTCGAAAGTGAAATCCACCATCGATGTACCACCATCTACATCATCGGCGGTGAGGTCAATTTTGCAACCTTCTAAACGTCTTCCTCAATCGCTATCGGGTGATAATGGTTTAGAAGTTGGTCCTCAACGCCAAGCGCCACCTCCTGCAATGGCAAATTGTTCGAAAGCGAAACCCACCATCGATGTACCACCATCTACATCATCGACGTCGGCGGTAAGGTCAATTTTGCAACCTTCTAAACACCTTCCTCAACCGCTATCAGGTGATAATAGATCAAAGCTATGCGATTTGTGTGGAATTTCTTTCACAAATCATATGGCTTTGGAGTCACATCTCAGGATGAATCATACGATAGAGGTTGAGAAAGGTGTTGAGAAGATTGCAACTTGTTACAAAGATCGAGTTGCGTCTTATAAAATATCCGGAGATCGTGATGATGATGATGATGATATCTCCACATATCTTGCGCGTTCCCGAAATACTGTCGGAAATATTATCACATCTTACATGAACCTGAACGGCTCGGTGAAGGTGCAACTCGAGCTTTTATCCATTTTTATTAAAACAACAATTAATGAAAATGGAGATGAGACCGTTACCGCGTCCGAAAAGAATTTTAATACCAAATTCGAAGTAATTACACAATTCGCCGATTTTATTGAAACTTATGATGAGATGGTGGCAAGTATTAACCATCAAGCTGAAGAGTTTCAGGAGAGGGGGTCCGGTTGGGCCTTCTTCTCTATTTCATACCTTCTTCTAAACATCAACAAATTCCAACCTATACCCGGCTCGTCGTACATCCCGCTTCCTGAATCAATCGCTACCAAGAAAGCGTGCATCAACATCAAAAACTACGATGACAACGCTTGTTTAATAGAAACTTAACATCATCGTACCCGCACTTTTCAACCGTATTAAATTTAAAAGATATAAACTTTCCCTTGCATTTAAAAGACATTCCTAAAATTGAACAATTAAATAATTTAAGTATAAATTTATGAACTAGTTAAATCATCCAACGAATACGCGGTGGAAGGACCAATTTATTTTACAAAAAATCGACGGGATACCCATATAAATTTACTTTATTTATATGAAAATGGACACGGACATTACGTTTTAATTGTAAATCTATCACGTTTGATTTCTAAACAAGTATACAACCACGGTCATTCTGTACACCTTTGCGATGGTTGTTTAACACGCTTTTCCACACAAAAGTTGTTAAACGATCATCAACTGCATGATTGTAATCATATTAAAACCATTTTACCATCGAAAAATGTGCGCTCAAGGCCAAACTTTCTAGGTTCGTATACGCCTGAAAATACTTTACAATTTAATAATTATAAAAATACTCAAAACGTCCCCTTTGTTATATATGCGGATTTTGAATCGATTTTAAAGCCGGTAGAGTTTTGCGAACCTAGTACTTCAACATCTTTCACCGAAGCGGTAGATATACACATGCCGTATAGCTTTGCTTATTATATCGTTTCAACATCCGATGTTAAATATTATAAATTCGAAACGTATACGGGCCTCGATTGTGGTAAAGTTTTTGTTTCAAAATTAATCGAGGACGTTAAATTTATTTACAACGAATATTTAAAATGTATTAAACCAATGCTACCTCTAACCGCTGCGGAGGAATTGAAATTTAATTCGGCTTCGTTATGCCATATTTGTAAGTCACCGTTTGATGGTTTTAATCAGAATAAGGTTCACGACCATTGTCATATTACCGGCAGATTTAGAGGTGCCGCACATTCAACGTGTAACCTTAATTTCAAATTCCCTAATTTCATTCCGATATTTCTTCACAATTTTAGCGGCTATGATTCACACTTATTCGTAAAGGAATTAGCTGATATCGATTCGGAGGGTGGTATCGATGTTTTACCCAACAACAAGGAAAAATACATTAGCTTTAGTAAAAACGTTTTAGTTGATCGCGTTAAAAAACAGCACAAAGATGATTTTGAAAACGTCTACATGAAAATGCGCTTTGTAGATTCATTTAGGTTCATGGCATCCTCTCTCGATTCGCTCGCCAGCAATCTTGTGGAGGATGACTTTATCCGTATAACGTATAACGTTAAAAAATTTTTCATACGTCACGAACAGTTAAAATTGTTAACAAGAAAGGGTATTTTTCCTTATCAGTATATTGATTCTATTGATAGATTGGGTGAAACATCATTACCCTCTAAAGATGCTTTTATGAATAAGCTGAGCTTCGATGG